CTTCCGATCTAATGAAACTTGTTAATATACACTATATCAAGGATACAAAGTGGACTTTTTTTCACTTGTTTATTACAGATTGTCACATCACTGTTTAGTGCATTTACTTCTATAAGCCTTCTCTTTTTATGTAAATGCTACATGAATACATACATACTACCTTTTCACCCATACATATATGCATATTACCTCCATCATATGAAACTCCAGATCAGATCAAACTATCTAGAAAGTTGTTTTCATTAATAGTAAAACTGCATAGAGAGCTGAATTACATAATATCTTATTAAGGATATTTCATATTTAGTATAGACTGTGTAATTGTGGAAAATTAAAAGGTAGTGTCTTTCTTACAGTAATAGAATTATCAGTCAGTCTTGGGCTCCTAGATGTTTATTTGTAATAATTTGCTTGTCTAAATACTTGACATTAATTTCATTTTTTGGAAGCAGGGGGCTTCACATAGCACTTTTAATGTTCCCAACAATTTTAAGGTTAGATTTCTTTAAACACAATCCAGATAGTAACTTAAAAGTTTACTTTCTTTGCTATCTGTTCTTTAAAAGGCATTGAAAACTAAGTATTTCAGTAATCGGCCAGGGCCAACACCTGGATGTCAACTGCCTAGACCAAACTGTCCAGTGGAAACTTTAAAGGAGCAGTCTAATCCATCTCTGGCAACGAAACGGAAGAGAACAGAAGCCTTGGAACAAGGTAAAACTCTCAATTTTCTAAGAAATGCAGTGAATACAGATAGAATGTGGTGTTTTTAGCTGCATTTGCAAAAATTCTTTTGAGAATATTTACAACATGCTCTTTAAAAAGACAAGAACACTTTTTAAAAATAGATATTTTATTGATTTTTTACAGAGAGGAAGGGAGAGGGATAGAGAGTTAGAAACATCGATGAGCGAGAAACATCAATCAGTTGCCTCCCTACTGGCACACTCCCTACTGGCTAGTTGCCTGCAACCAAGGTACATGCCCTTGACCGGAATTAAACCTGGGACCCTTGAGTCCTCAGGCTGACACTCTGTCCCCTGAACCAAGCCGGTTAGGGCGACAAGAACACTTTTGAGTGTACCTCAGAGTAACCAGAACTATCAGTGTGTACCTTCTCTTCATGAATTCCTACTGGTACACTGTATGCTTAATGTTTAACAAATGCTATTGGGAAAATTAAAGCAAATAAAATAAATGTAATGGGAATACTATGACTGTTTAAAATTGCCATTAACTTAAATGTGAACAACCTCTTTTTTTTTTTCACCTAGGAGGATTACCCAAGAAGCTAATTTTTTAGTTACAGATAACACTGGACAGTATTTCACTACTGAAGGAAATAGTCAAAACGGCAAATAATTTAAAAATAATAAACATTAAGTAAATGCTATAGAAGGAATTGTAAATATTCTACACATGTAAAATATGTAAGACAATTATTTTTATTAAATGTATTTTAAAACAAACTTAATTTTGATTTTTCTGATTAGAGTGCAAAAATAAGTTCAGTTCTCTGAAATGCATTAAGGAAATCTTAATAAAAATAATTTCCAGTTATTTTGATGATCTGGCTCCTTATAACATCACAAAGTGGTAGTAATAGGGACAATATAGTAGTAATGTAGCAAATACTTTAGTTAATATACTAAATAGGAAAAAAGAAAAATTATTAGATAAAATTGAAGTCCCTTTAATAAATCATTCTGTTCAGTTTCTTCCTTTTCACCCTACCCAAAGGAGAATGGCTAAGGAGATGAGTGTGTCCTCCCCTGATTTTATACTGCTATTTTATAAAATGGCATGTAGTAATAATACACAGTATTGTTTTAGGTCTCAAAATTTTATGTGAGTGATAGACTATACACCTCATCCTGCAAATTTTTTTACTGAAAACTTTTGAATTTATTCTATGTTAATATATATAAATCTAGTTTGTTTTAGCTGTCATATATCATACTAGAGGCCCGGTGCACAACATTAATGACTGGGTCGGGGGGTGTCCCTCAGCCCAGCCTGCACCCTCTCACAGTCCAGGAACCCTCGGGGGATCCTAGCACTGCTGCAGAGGTGGAAGAGGCTCCTGCCATTACCTCTGCACTTGCTAGCCATGAGCCCAGCTTCTGGCTAAGCAGTGTTCCCCCTTTGGGAGCACACTGACCACCATGGGGCAGCTCCTGTGTGAGTGTCTGCCCTTGGTGGCCAATGCGCATCATAGCAACCGGCCGTTCTGCCGTTCGGTCGATTTGCATGTTACTCTTTTATTATATAGGAGGATTATATCTGATATGTGTACAATACTACTTACATATGCTCTACTTAAGGACTGTTTTTATTTTGCTGCATAAAAATTGCCATAATTATAGCAGCTTAAATTAACAAAAATTTATTAGCTCACAGTTGTGAGGTCAGATAGGCCAAAATCAAGGTATCAGTGGGACTGGGTGCTTATCTGAAGCTCTAGGGAAGAATCTGTTTCCAAGTTCATTTAGTTCATGCTGCTTGAATGAACATGCCATCTTTCTTTCCCAGCTGTCAGCCAGGGGCCTCTCTGTTTCTCAAGGCAGTGCACATACCTTGTCATATGGTACTTTCCATTTACAAGCCAACAACAGTGCTTCAGGTTGTCTGTCTTCCTCATCAGCTACTAAGAAATCTCTGCTCCTTAAAAAAAGGAGTTGGGGCCGCTCACCTAATCGGGTTAATCATATATTAAGGTCAACTCACTTGGATTTTAAATACATATTAAAAATCTCTTCATGGCAGTTACCTACACTGTCCCTAGATGGGAATCGTGAGAAGGGGCGTCTTTAGAATTCTACCACATGGATATTTAGGTTATTTTCAGTTTTTCAAAATTATTTTAAAAGTAGAACATTTATATGCATATGTATTTTTATATTTTTATTTTGAAATTTCAGAGAGGAAGGGAGAGGTAGAGAGAGAAACATCAGTGATGAGAGAGAATCATTGGCTGCCTCCTGCATGCTTCCTACTGGGGATCAAGCCTACAACTGGTGCATGTGCCCTTGATCGAACCCGGGACCCTCCAGTCCCCAGGCTGATGCTCTATCCACTAAGCTAAACCAGCTAGGGCTCCTTAGCCTTTCATTTTATATGAAACTCATATATATACGAGGTCTGTGTATGGTCTTTATCCTATTCCATTGACCTGCTGATACCACACTGCTTTAAGTAATGTAGCTTTATATTATTATCAGGATACTATATCTTAATATCTGATAACAATAGTTCTTCATCATTTTTTCAAAGTTCACTTGCCAGGTTTTCAGCTTTTATTATTATTTACTAATGCCAATTAAATACTCTCCTTTTAACACAACTATAAATGATTTATATTGTTACCTTATACTCTATTGTTACCTATTTAAGTAGTATTCAGTGAAGCCATGTATCTTTTCACTAGAGATCATAATGAGATAAATTTTATTATAATTGCTGGTAATGTAATACATTTCCTTTGACATAATTGTGATGCTACTAATATAGCAACATTCCCAAAAGTTATTAAAGATTATTACTATGTAATATATATAGAAATAGAAAATTAAGTGGCCTAAAATTTAGCATCAAAACCAAAAAGGTAATTCAGACTGGTCTGAATACCAGAATTCTGGCAGATTTGGCTAGAAAATGTCATTACATCAACAAAAAAAAAACTAGGAAGGTTACTAGCTGTGATTTTGAATATTCTGCCAAAGTTCCACCATAAAAACTTTTAATTGAGATTAACTTAAGGAAATTTTATAAAAATGTTATGTGGCAAATGAAAAATTCTGAAAACACACACAAATAAAACATGATAAATATATTTCAAAAATTAACATTCCATCACTCCTAGGCATTGTTGTTATTTCTTAGAGCATTAATTTACATTATATTCTTGCTTGAGCCGGTCAAAGATCCCCATAGTCATTCTAAATAGTTAAATAATGTTTTGCTTTTCTCAAAAAAATATTTTTGTTTTCAAGAAGTTGGCAAAAAATGAAGATTTTATAAAATATAGTAATGTAATTTATAAATATGTCATCACAGAATACTAATAAATTTCTTATAGAAAACATTTGAGTATTTAAACTGCCTCCTAAAATTTAGAAATACCCGGAAAACATACAATTTCTGAAGATGTGGCAATGTTTACACAATCCTTTTTCAAAGTCTCTTGACAAACAGTTCTCAGTTCTAATTTCAACTGGTTTATCTTCGAAAGATGATATTTCGTGGCAAAGAATGAGATCTTTTCAGAGTTCTTTTATAGTTTTGATCTGTATGAAGGTGCTGGATTGAACAAACACAGCCCACAGAATTAAAAATGTGAACACTTGAACGTACAGGATCATGCAAAACAGAGAATTCTGATGTTTTCTGCTTGGGGTGTTTTAATGGAAAATTGTCCTTCATGGGATTTTTTTCTTTATTCTCTCTTGAGCCTATGTCTTTGTCTTCCAGTGCCCGAGCAAGCATGTAGCTAACTTTTCTCTGATGAGCCAAAGCTTCTTCTTTATCGTTCAGCTGCATGCACAGGAATTAAACATGTGCCAGTTAGTCAACAAGTAACAGTATAGAACTATAGTCAGAAACATTTTTCAAAATGTTCAAGCTGGCCCTAGCCAGTTTGGCTCAGTGGATAGAGTGTCGGCCTACGGACTGAAGAGTCTCGCGTTCGATTCTGGTCAAGGGCACATGCCTGGATTTCAGGCTCAATTCCCAGTAAGGAGGTGTGCAGGAGGCAACCAATCAATGATTCTCTCTCCCTCTCCCTCTCTGAAATCAATAAAAATATATTTAAAAAAAAGAAATTGCCAAACTGTTTTAAACAATGTTCAGTCTGTCAAGTCAGTCAATACGAATAAATTAATTAGGTGTCCACTCATTCCCAAGCTTCATGCTACAAGTTATGGAGGATATTTTTTCAAGGAAGAAGAGAAAACTATTCTTTTTTTAAAAAATATATTTTATTGATTTTTTTACAGAGAGGAAGGGAGAGGGATAGAGAGTTTGAAACATCGATCAGCTGCCTCCTGCACACTCCCTACTGGGGATGTGCCTGCAACCAAGATTCATGCGCTTGACCAGAATCGAACCTGGGACCCTTCAGTCCACGGGCCAAGGCTCTATCCACTGAGCCAAACCAGCCAGGGCGAGAAACTATTATTTCTGCTGAAAATTTTAAGTCATCTGAAGGGAGGAGGAAATACATATACAAGTATATATACATGTAAAATCAACAGGTACTTATCTCTGTAAAAGAAGGGGAAGTTAAATATAAAATTGTTTTTATATTTATATGCAAATAACTAACACTCCTATAGATAAGCATGTTCGTATAATGTGAGTCTCTTAATTTGGTCTTCTGTGAGGTGGGGATAACAGGACTGGTTTCAAGCATGTGGCAGTGATTAGAGGATCTCTGAGGAAGTGGATGGATAAGTACAAGGTCTTGTCATAAACTGTATTTCAGTGCAGATGACAGATGCCTGGAGTTAATTATGGGGAGCCCTCTTTTCAGAGGTGGAGCTTAAGTGGGAAGAGCATGCAGAGAGTTTAAGGAGATGAAGGGGCATAAAAGTTACGTTTAAAGTGGAAGAGTTGAATTAATAAGCAAAAAGAAAGCAACAATACTAACCAAATCTATTAGCATCTTAAAGACTTCCTGAGGGTTATCCTGGTCTTCAGTCTTCTTAGAACTATTTTCTGCAGGGAGCATACCCAACAGTTTCTGCCCTAGGGTCTTCTTAGTCCTTTGTGATAGTGATCCTAAAATTGAACATGAAAATCCAGCTGAGACATAAAAAGACACTTATGGATGTAGTACTTCCAGGAAAAGAGGTATGCTGACCCAAGGCTAATTCACTCCTCGGTCAGGAGGTTGTCCTCCTCAGGAGACCGCTAACAGGTGAGTCAGGTAGCACAGTGGAGGGGGAAAGCACAGGCTTTAGCGCCAAGATAGTAAATGCAAGGAGGGGGCCACAGTGAGAATCCAGAGCAACACGCTGCCGTTCGTTGCATCACCGCTCCTCAGCTGGCTACAGTGGCGGCCCCGGGAGAGAGTGCAGCCCCTGCTACCAGATCATCTAAGTCCTCCAGAGGAGCCAGCAATCCAGATTTGTATGTGATGTCTCCCAATTTTAAATGTCAGGCACTTACCCACATTATTTGAGAACACCATGCAGACCCCACAAAACATATCTATAGGCCAGTGGCCTCTGAACCATGTGAACTCTGCTTTAGAACCAGAAAGACCTGGACTTGAATCTTCACTTAGCCACTTACTAACTGCATGACCGTGGACAAGTTCTGAGCTTCATTTCCTCGCCTCTAGAATAGGAATAGTGCCTGTGCCTCAAGGTTGCTGGTATTAAATAATAGAGCATTCGCTGCTGGAGGAGAGCGGACAGTGAGCATTTAATTGGTACAGAGTTTCTCTTTGGGAAAATGAAAAAGTTCTGGAGATGGATGGTGGTGATGGTTACACAACAATGTGAATATGCTTAATGTTGCTTAAAAATGGCTAAGGTGGTAATTGTTTTACCACCAAAACAAAAAACCCATAGTTGTGAAAGCATCTAGCCCAGGTACTGGCAATGTTGAAAAATCCACAACCTGAAATATGTGCACTAATGTTCTTCATCCATAGAAAGAGTGCAATTTATAGTACAAGGTACAAAAGTAATAGATTCATACAGAGAAAATGTCAAGATTGCTTTTGGAATGCTTTGCAAATGGTCTCCTGGGAAACCGAGAGCAGATACACCACAGTGACTGGGGCTCACACCCGATCTCTTCTGTGAGCAACTGTGGCAAAGTGGAAACACCAGACCAGCTGCCCCTCTCGCAGCTTCAATGAGAGGATGAACTTGTCTCTACATTCAGCCTAAAAAAGGACCTGTGCTTGTAAACTCTCTCAGGACTTGTCTCAAGAAGAAAAGCTGATGCCTTCAGTGTTAACCACACGAAAGAAAATGACCTGTAATAATCATCCTATACCTGCTCAGATTATTAGAGTATATACTAGTAACATTAGAATCTTGTCACTAAGAAACACAGAATTACTGAAACTTGTAAGGACTTGTAACATCTTTTCTTTTTTTCTTTTTAAATATATTTTATCGATTTTTTACAGAGAGGAAGGGAGAGAGATAGAGAGTAGAAACATCGATGAGAGAGAGACATCGATCAGCTGCCTCCTGCACATCTCCTACTGGGGATGTGCCCGCAACCCAGGTACATGCCCTTGACCGGAATCGAACCTGGGACCCTTCAGTCTGCAGGCCGACGCTCTATCCACTGAGCCAAACTGGTTTCGGCTGTAACATCTTTTCAGAGATGAATCAATTATTTAAATTCTGCTTCTAAATCTCTCAGTGCCTTAAGGGAAAGCAAAGACTGGGAGCTACACCTATCAAACAATCTATGGAAAAGTTCCTAAGGTTTATTATTAGCTAAGAAAGGCAGGAATTCTGGAATATAAAATGAGTCCAGCCCTAGCCGGTTTGGCTCAGTGGATAGAGTGTCAGCCTGTGGAGAGAAGAGTCCTGGTTTCTATTACTGTCAAGAACACGTATCTCAATTGCAGGCTCCTCCCCAGCTGTGGCCCTGGTCAGGGCGTGTGCAGGAGGCAACCAATCGATGTGTTTCTCTCACATCGGTATTTTCCATCTCTTCCACTCTCTAAAAATCAATGGAAAAAAATATCCTTGGGTGAGGATAAAATATAAAAATAAATAAAATGAGTCCAGCCCTAGCCGGCGTGGCTCAGTGGATAGAGCGTCAGCCTGTGGACTGAAGGGTCCCAGGTTCGATCCCAGCCAAGGGCACATGCCTGGGTTGCAGGCTGGATCCCCAGTAAGGGGTGTGCAGGAGGCAGCCAATCAATGATTCTCATCATTGATGTTTCTATCTCTCTCCTCCCTTCCTCTCTGAAATCAATAAAGAAATATACTAAAAAAAATAATAAAATGAGTCCATACTCAAGTGCTGAAATGAATACAAATCTACCTCTGAAAAACGCAGCTTGGTCTACATAGCACTACCCTTATGGCCAATACCCATACATAGTAGCGGGCCTTCTATGCAAGTGACAGAATGTGACAAGCTTTCATAAGATTACTTTTTAATCATGTCTGCCCCTCCTTTTTCTATTTCTCCCATCACTCTTCTCCCTACAATGCTGCCCTCAAAGAGTATTCCTTTGAAATAGTTGCAGTGTGGCTCCATAGCAGAGAGAAGAGATGCCCGAGGATGATTGCCCACACAGTTGTTGTCCATGGTAGAAATATTCTTAATGTTTCCCACTGATTCCTAAAAGGCTAAACACATGGACTATGTCTTATTTCCCTGGCAAAATCACCTACCTTGAGTTGGACATGGAAGTTTTTGTCAAGAAATTATAGAAAATCACCATATAAATATTGATTTTGTACTTCCTATAAAGTACTGTTGAGGACTTCACCATTATATTTGCTTAATGGCCTCTATAAGTCTCATGTCACAAAAATTTTTAGGAGTTCATTAATGCCATTAGAAGAGTACCAACAGCCGAAACCGGTTTGGCTCAGTGGATAGAGCGTCGGCCTGCGGACTGAAAGGTCCCAGGTTCGATTCCGGTCAAGGGCATGTACCTGGGTTGCAGGCACATCCCCAGTGGGGAGTGTGCAGGAGGCAGCTGGTCGATGTTTCTCTCTCATCGATGTTTCTAACTCTCTATCTCTCTCCTTTCCTCTCTGTAAAAACTCAATAAAATATATTTAAAAAAAAAAAAAAAAAGAGTACCAACAATTATCCTGTTATTTTATGGCTTTGTTAATCCCAATAGCTCATCTACATATGTAACATCCAGTGATCCCTTTCTTCCCATAGATATTAAAATTTTAAATCACAATTGTATGCAAAATTTTAATTATATTATCAATTGTATTAAATATGCTTAATCAACTTTGATTACAACCAAAAACTTCCAAAATTATACCTAATTTTGTCATTATAGTTCATATTTACCATCCTCTTTAAGGTGCTTCGAATTTATCCATTTTGTTTCTTTTTTACACATTTTATCCATTTGTGTCAATCTTAGTGCCTGGTCATTTTTCCTCATTAGTTGTTGCTCAAATGCAATTCTGAATGCATCTGCCATTATGTAAGCTTCTTCTTTTCTCTTCTGCAAAAGTTCCAGCTAGTTTTGAAAGAAAGTTTGGAAGGTGTCAGAGGCAAAACCAGAATAATTCTTGCCTGGATGCTGAGTCAGATTAGCTAATGCAATCTCCCTGCCTAGCATGGGATTACTCTGTCCTTGGTCTATTTCATCTGCTTTAATTAGTACGTGCCCGTTCTCATTGGCAGGAGCTGCCCACTCTGAACTGGATTACCAGAAATTCCCCTTGTGGAGCCTGTCAGTTCTCTTGGACTTCATTATAGCTGACAGGCACTGTGTGTGTTTTGCCCTACTAGGGAGAAGGGAGACTGCCAAAGCCTGCATTTCAGTACTCCGGTGGGCCATTCCAGACAATACCACTGAAAATGATTTTGAATATCATCTTTCAGACACCTCCTATAGTTGACCCTTACTCTGATCTATGTAATCATATGCTTCTCCTAATGAATTCTTAATATTTAGCTGTTAGCATTTCCATATAGTCTGAAGACTTTAAATTTCATACCTTCAGTAAAGGTAAAATATTTTTTAAATTATGGCCCATGCTAAAATGACAGCTACCATTTGATTAAATGCTGGGCACGTGCTAAGTATATGTCTACTTCTTTTATTTCTTACAACAACCCTCCAAACTAGTTATTACCCTTTGTCTAACATATATGTCCAGAGCCAGAGCTAGACAGTGATGGACCTAAGATCAAAGCTAGGTTTGGTAGCACAAAGGCTCCTTCCACTGAACCTCACTTCTCTTCTAATAAGCTTCATGTTGATCTCAATCAGTGATACAGATCCTAGCAATTTTCAGTAGAAGTGCTCCTTTTCCTCCAATCCTATATAATAAAAGGGCAATATGAAATTGACCCTAACAGCGGAATGACCAGGAACGACCGGTCGCTATGATGCGCACTGACCACCAGGGCGCAGACGCTCAACACAGGAGCTGCTCCCTGGTGGTCAGTGCACTTCCACAGAGGCGGAAGAGGCTCCTGCCACTGCTGCTGCGCTGGACAGCCTCTCCCACCTCTATGGCAGTGCTATTTAACTATAGTCCGGCCCTCCACCGGTCTAAGGGACAGTGAACTGGCCCCCTGTTTAAAAAGTTTGAGGACCCCTGGCTAGGGATATCCAACTAACGGCTTAGGACCACTCCCCATGGGGAATGGGCCTAAGCCATTATTTGGACATCCCCCGAGGGCTCCCGGGCTGCCAGAGGGATGTCTGACTGCCAGCTTAGGCCCAATCCCTGGGGAGCAGGCCTAAGCCAGCAGGTGGACATCCCCCAAGGGGTCCCATACTGGGAGAGGGTGCAGGCCAGGCTAAGGGACCTCCCCCACCTGAGTGCACAAATTTTCGTGCACCAGGCCTCTAGTTTACAGTATAAACAAAAGAAATAGAATTTAGGAAGTATTAACTACAGTCTTAGGCAAACAACTTTATGTGGCTACAGTATCATGCCAAATACTATTTGTATTCTGGAACCATATCCAGTTTATAAGTTAATGCTATTTTATAAAACTAAGCATAAGATCCATCACCAATGACTAGTAAAATGAAGCTAATAATTGAAAATACTTCCATTTATTCTACCATTAATAGAGAAACAAAACCAAGGCTTTTACTGTTCTGATAATACGATACCTCTTGTTTGAGCTGAAGAATCCTTTTCTGAGCAGATGCCGCCATTTTGGCACAGGAACAGGGGCTCCCTCCAGGACCATGACAAAGGCAGGCTCCAAGGACCGCAAGCTTTAAATCCAAAAGCACTACCCTGTTACTAAGTGTCACACTGCTTAGCTGGACACAAATGCAGGGAGGGGTACACCCACACATACCCACACACATTTCTAGTCAAGCATTTTATTCAAAGAAATTGGAGGGGGAAAAAAACAGAAGGAAAATGAGACCAGCATTTCAGCATCCAAGAGAAGGTTAATTACATGCAAACGAGGAAAGAATGTTGGTACTTGGGACAAAAACATAATGGGATTCTACCTTCCTTCTTTTCACTCTCCACCATCACCTTTAACCTGGCACCAGTTTCCTATAATTCTGAATCTTTGGCAGGAACTTGACCCAGTGAAGTCAATATTAACATCCACAACGTGGACTTCCTGTGACTGGACTTGGCCCTGCTGCCCAGCATTCATTACTGCCGGCTCCTGTCAGGGGGTCACATACTCAAAAATGAATGAATTTTAATGTCAATGAGAAAAGCAATCATCTGTCCACGCCTTAAAAAAAAAAAAAATCTATGATTATATAACGTGAGGCCCTACTAACATAGCTTCTGCTAAAACTGTAAAACTAAGGAATAAAAGGAAGTAAATGGCTAACATATTCCTTAATCTCCAAGAATGACATGCATGAAGGGTGTGGTACCAGCAAGACAAGAGCTGAACTAGACAAACCCATGGGCCTCAAATTGTAAGTATGGTGCTGTCCTGGAATGTGTAACAGATGGTGACGATGGGAAGTAGAAAATTTCCATCCTCCTAAGCTTTCATACCTGCTTACCTACCTCAAGGCCTGAAAACTCTGTAAAGTCACTTTTAGCATCGCACATGTTTTCCTGAACCATCTTCTGCTGTTTGATTTCAAGCATAGCCAGGGCTTCCAAATACTGTTGATTCAAGCCTAGGAAGGGCCATACAAGAAAGTGTTAGTTTGAGGGCTAACTCTGGTCTCACCTAATCTTGTTACATCAACATTATACTCATTCCTTACAAGCAATGCATATACAACAGGCAATGCCCACAAAATTTGGCCCCATCCAGAAAATCTGATAGAATAGTGGGTATGGATGGAGTGAGAGAATACATGTGTAACACTAGGTAAAATGTTATTACTTCTAAGTGGAAGAATCGTAACTTTGCAACCTAAGTCTAGTCTTCATTTCCTCGGAAAATTTGTAGCATTTTCAAAGAGAAAATATACAAAGGCAAATTAGATATGTTGTAGATAGTGAGATAACCAGATAGTGAGATAACCAGAGATAATCATATTTGTTTTTTGTCAAATGTACCAGCAATCCGCCCTAGCTGGTTTGGCTTAGTGAATAGAGCATTGGCCTGCAAACTGAAGGGTCCCGGGTTCAATTCTGGTCAAGGGTACATGCCCAGGCTGTGGGCTCGATCCCCAGTAGGGGGTGGACAGGAGGCGGCCAACAATGATTCTCATCATTGACGTTTCTATCTCTCTCTCCCTCTCCCTTCCTCTCTGAAATCAATAAAAATATATTTAAAAGAAAACATACCAGTGATCCAAACTCCATCAGATTTTTTTATTAAGAATTTTCACAAGAGGATTTCAAACCATTTAGAACATTTCTGCTATTTACTGGAGAGCAAAAAACAGTAACTTCCCCCCTCTTGTTGCAGGGTGAGTGGGAGGGAGTATGGGGAGGGGTTGTCATGAGCAGCTTCTGTCTAGAGTACTAACTTAACACAGGAGAAATCTCCATCTGCTCAAATCACTGGTACGGAGAAGCACCGTGTGTGTGTTCTCACCCGGGGCACCGCCACAACTCACGCAACTACACTAGGAAAAGTGCCTCTCTCAGGCCATGACCCGATTCGGAACTTATTTTTGTCCCCTTCAAGCCACCACTTTAAAATAGTTTCTGTTCAGAAAGGAGAATCAATATCTTCTCTTAGAATTTTATAAAAAGTTGGTACCACCTTAATATTCTTAAAACACTTTAATATTCTTTCATTAATTTTTGTCGTAAGGTAGCTCATTATATAAGGGATGTGTGATGGGGTGGGGGGGAGTGCACACATATACACTTGA